GGGGGCTGTCAAAAATAACAACTCTGTAATAGTCCAGAAAACATTTGACCCTGTTTAATGACATTAAGGGTAATGTGACTATGGTATAAAATTTTAAGATTAGAATTTAGTAGGAATTTGTGATATATGAATATTCTAATTTGTAGTGGTTACAGGAAACCTAACTTAATTTAGCACTCCTGGTGAAAAGAAAAAAAAAATATTTATAAGAAAGACATAATCACATTATAAAAACCAGAAAAATTATATTGTGATTTTGTAAAAAGTGATGACCTGCAGGAACAGATGGTCCATTTTAACATTACACTTAAAAATCTTCACTTTGAGCTGCACAGGATTGGTAAAGAATTGTACTTCTTTCTTATTATCTTTATTCATTCTACTGGGTTCTTAAGTCAAAAATATTAAACAGTCAAAAATGTAAGAGTGACTTATTGTATGTTAAGAATGAACCAAAGGAAAAAATAAGTTATGGGTGAAAAAAGGCAAAAGCAGTTTAAATATATAATATCACTTTCACCGTACATTTCCACTATTTCTTCAATCCTTCACCTACTTTCCCTACCACATTGAATCAGCCAACTGGATTCAGTGCTTCAGTATCATTCATGAGCAAGGGGAAAATATTAAAAGAGAAATCAAAGAGAACCAAAAAGTGAAACTCCTAACTCTGCATTCTAAAATAGATATTTTAAAGCCAATGCTTTTGAAGAATAAGAAGTTCTTTTTGCAATTTAAAGTGCTATACTCAGAAAGAATAAATACGTAATGGTTATGTCACAAAAACAGACTGGAAAGATAATCAATAAAACAACAGACTACTCCTTAAAAATTACTTATATTTTTCTGGTGAAATAAAAAATAATTAAGAGTCAAGATGAGACATAAAGAGTGGTACATTACTCTGATTTAAATCTCTGTTGAAGATTTAAGTGGGAAGATAAAATCCTGTAGAATTTGGAAACTCCAGGACAGATCAGATTGTACTTGCTTCTTGGGTGAATCTGAATATGTGACAAGCCTCACAGAGCAATCTTACACATAAAAGCATGATGTGTGGGCTGAAAGTATAAAAAGCGGCAAGCTGTGTTTATGCATGGAGGTCCACAGCAAGCTTGGGTGGCTTCCATAAACAAAGAACGTGTTATGTGGTAATCAAAGTGGAATGGGTGACATGCCTGCTATGTTTATATGCGTAGGCACAGAATAAACTCATTCTGAAAGAAAAGCCTGCAGTGAATGCCAAAAAGGCACATGCTGGAAAGGAGGTGCAGAAAAGGCAGTGGATGATGTTATAGCTTATCAGAAGACATTTAGGAGAGATAGATGAGCAAAAAGCAGACAGAGGGTTCACCTTTTTGCCAGGATAAAAAGAAAGCCCTCATCACCACACCTACCCTCAGTGTGAAATTAGATCAGTCTTTGAGGAGACGCAGAAAGGAGCAGTCAGAAAAAAGTGGTGAAAAGACTGAATCAGAAAAAAAAAAATACTGAATTTCCCTTGATTGTGTAAAATATAGTAGTGAATAGCGAAAATGATGGTTTTGTATGTGCTTTAAAATATTCAGTAATTATGAAGGTAAAGGAGTTACTGTGCATCTTTTCAGTGTAATGCTGGGCTTTGGTGGTAACCAAGCCTCCATTCCTACTCAAGATTCTCAGGTTGAAGAATACACATTCTTGTTTTAAAGAAAAGTTTTTTACTATTTGCTATTGATTAGGATATTTTACATTTCTGTAATTGTACCTGGTAGCTAGTAAAAAACAAACTAACAAACAAACCTGATGAAGATGCAAATGAACCATGTATGATAGAGTGGCAATTAAGTTCTGTTCATAAGAAAATCCCCAATTTAAAGTTTTATTGTCCTGCAGAACTTTGATTTTATAGCTAAATTACTAATCTTACATAAGCATTCTCTTTCAACCACTATAAATACTTCACACTCCTACTTACTTTTGGAATCGGCTTTATTATCATGCTAATGTCCCCATTAATGACTTAAATGATGTTGCTATCAAATTCTCAGGAAGAAATATTTAATATTGCTTAAATTACACAGATAAAAGAGTACAGTTTGTTTTGTTGGTGGTGATGTTCTTATTTTTATAAATTATTCCGGAAAAGAGATATTATGGTATCTTTAAGTGACAAATGTTAAGAGATTTTGGAAATTAGTGTGTAAATTTATCAAACTACACAAGTAAAATTTAAGGAAAATATTTCATTCCACTCACCAAAGCCAAATAAATGCCTTTAGGCACAAATTCCAGCATATTCCCTGGAAATGGACAGTAAGTTGAATAATGTAGTCCATGCTAGAAGCCACAAACCGCCAACACTTTCATGTAATTTGATATTGAACTTCTAAAATCTGTATCTGATATAGATTATAGATCACTCTTAAGAGCATATATGATTTATGCTCAAGATTTCCTAAAGCCTAAGTAATCTGACAATCTGTGAAAATGACAGGATGCCAACTGAGCTTGTAGAAAGGAAAAAGAGATTATGATTCTGTATGTTAAACTCCTAAACATTCATCAAAAAGCAGAAGAAACTACTCCAGCAGGTGTATTGGACTAGAAAAAAACATGTTGTAGAAGGCAGAGAAGGAAGAAGCTCAAGCTCATTTTTATCAAGTGGCAATAATACTTATTCTTAAATATTCCATATGGGAGTCCTGAATGTCTTCTTCCCACAATCTTCACTGAAGTTAATTTAAGGGAGGACCTAATTTCCATGAAAATAGTTGTTTTGGGGACAAATATATTCAGTTACAATCTCACATGCTCACAGATGCACACTATCACATAACACAAAATTGAAATTAATTTTAGGTCAACTGCATATCTGCAGAGCACTTCTTATCAAACTCACATCACAAGAATCTTTCTTTAGATATTTCCACCAAACAAAAAATGAAAGTAGATTTAGTACAATTTAAACATTAACCATCAGAAGTAACAAAGGTATAACCTAGCAGAATTCACTCATTGATTATGAAAATAAAATATTCCAAAAATGAAGATTATAGTTATCTGTGTAACCTAACTATGAAGAAAGAAGACTTACTAATTTCTAGAACATATACTGGATAAATATACAATACCTTAAACACAGCACAGTGTGGAACACATAGCATATATTCAATAACTACCTTGTTAAAAAAAAAAGAATTGATTCCAGATATTTTGTTTATCTTTATCCAGCTGTCATTATGGTAGTGGTGAAATTAATTAAAATGAAATTTAGCTTCCTTAAAACCCACCACACTACTAATGCATGATAATTTGGATGAAGACATAAAAGAATAGAGAAATGAAAAACATACTTTTTTAATAAATTGCATAGTGTTAATCTAATCTTTAATATGAAGAGTTTTCAGTATGAGAGGAGGTAAAGTGTGGTCAAAATATACTCCAAAATCTCTTTTATGTATATGGGAAAAAAATCTGTGCATGCATGACAATTAATCAGTTATTTGAGAAATTATTATAAAAAGATTGCTCTGATAAAGATTATTGCCTAGTCACTTTATGTTAACAGGTTTTTATATAATCTGACATTAGTAAAAGCTCTCTGAGAAGTAAATCAGGACAAGGGTAAACATTCCAATTCTCATTTCTGGACAGAAGGGCACATAATGTGTACATTAACAATATTTATGGCCTAGAAAAATAAGCTATGAGACATGAGTGTAAAGAAAGCTGAATGCAACTAAGTCTATAGGAAAACCACAGAAATGGTATTGGTAGGTGACTATCTCAGCACAAAAACATGCTGAAATGTACAAACACCTAGAGGCCAGAGGGCAGTAGAAGAAGCTGCAAGAAGGGATAAATACTTGCTTCACACACCTTGGCAAGCAGGAAACAGGCAGTAGGATAGCTAGGGGTGAGAAATGCTCTTTCATCCCTGCTCCAGGCTTCAAACACTACGGTCATGTTTCCTTTAAATCAAAGCAGATCAAGTAGGTCCTTCTCCAGGCACGCTACAGGGGGCTTTCCTGGGCCCTTGAGGATCAGGGATAAACAGTGAATTAGAGGATAATGTAGAATAAGTCATCTAATCCTTCTGCATATTTTGATAATGATTAAAATGTCAATGACTGCACATTTTTCACTCTACTACAATACTGAGAAAATTTGAAGCAGGAGAAGAGGAGAAAAAAAAAATCCTGAAGGGATGAAAAAAACCTGGAGAGAAAATAAATAGCAACTTCACCCTATTAATTCTACCTCAACCTTCACCCTACTTTTCAGTAAATGCCACATGCCACCTATGAAATAGGAGGAGCTTCAGCGTCCCAGGATGTAAGATCAAATAATAAGGCAGGGGTTTCATTTAGGGCAAAACAGAGAAAGCTGTAGGTCAAGGACTCCAGGTTCTATTCTGCCTCTTCTGGGGCTACAAAGATTAGTCAAAGAACAATCATGATTTACCACATTGCCTTCGATAGTCTCCATTTCAAGATCATATTCTAAAACAATAATTATGCTCACTTTAACTCTTGCAAGTACCTCATTTGGAGATAAACGATGGGCTCAACCTAGCTTTGGCACCTGTCATGGCTCATGTGGACACAATGACTTGGAGGAAGGGGTGCAGTAGAGTGGCAGGTGAATGAATAGAATGATAGAATTTGGGCACTGGCCTCACTCCCATTGTGTGTGTTTGTGTGTGTGTATGTGTGTGTGTATGAGGACAACAAACTGGTCTGTGTGGTAGTTTGGTTTGGAGGCAGGATGAAAGAAGGAGGTTCTCATTGAAGTAACAATGTGGCAGGGACGTAAGAGATTTTGAAACTGTGACAATTGAGGAACAATTAAGACATGCCATTGTTTTTCATAGAATAAGAGTAAATATTAACTTATTTCTACAATACCAGTACCACCTAAATACACCTGGCACTTCCCTGAGCACTTGATAAAGTGCATTATACATTTAACCCTCATGTGAACCGAAAGAGGTAGGTACTATTTGTAGGGTTATTTTATAGAGGAGGAAACTAGAGCAGAGAAATCTGATTATCCAAGGGCACATGGTAGCAATAGGACAGACTATACAGGTTCTTTGGATTTGCAGCAGGGACTTTCAAAAATAACCTCTCCCACAATGTTGCTTACTGTTTGTTCAGCAAAGATTGAAATGTTCCACCATATGATAGTCACTGGTCACATTCAGTGATAGAGCACTTGAAATGTGGATACATTGAAAAATTGAAGTTTAATGCAACTTTGTTCAAATAATTTTAATTTAAATATTCAAATATGCTAGTGGTTAACGTATTAGACAGGGACTCTCTCGAAAAATGACTTACTAATAATAAAATAATACATTTTGGGGCTTTTTTTTCTCATGATATATCACACATTATTAATTACGAAATATCAGTTATCTGTATTTCAAACAGTTAAGCCTTTTAAGGGAATGGAATATGATTTGTAGATTATATCGCAAACATCTTTCTCTAAATTTTTCTATAGAAAATAGCTGTTAAGCATGCATATAGAAAGCTTATATACAATGGCTGGACTAATACACTATACTTTGAATTATTTAAGTTTCAAAAATCTATATAATTTTAAAATTTACTTTTAAAATTATATAACTTACCCCCAATTAAATATGGTAATTTACATTGTATTGTAGCATTTAGTTCTGCCTATCTTAAGTCACAGACTACAAAATAATTATTTTACCTCTAGATTTTCATTGATAATTAAATATCATTGATAATTTTAAAAAATCTTTATTTGAAATGTACTGAATAATCATTTTGATTAGTGCCTTTACAACATTAAATATGTGCAAGATTAGTGTTGGTTTTCTCTAGCCATCCTGGAGTGAAATTTTATATGGGAGGATACTTTACACATACTGACAAGCTAGAGAAGGTTTTCAGAACCTAATATATCTGAAAGCTATTAGTCACTTGTACAACTCTTGTATACAGTGTTGCTTTTGTAATTGTTGTTTATTTGACTGCTGGGTTTGGGTTTTTGTTTTGTTTTTTAGGTAATAGGAATCAAGAAATCTAATATACAAATATTTTGGCATCAAATATTTTAATCTTTTTTTAATTAATGAAAAGTTTTTTATTTTGGCACAGTCAAAAGATAAAACAAATGAAAAGTTGTTTCTATGAAAATATGGACTTCTCATTTCATTGAAAACTCCACACATATTCATCAGCTATTTAACATAGTCTATTTATTGTTTGGGGGAAAATATATATTTTATATATTCATATATACGGAGTATAGAAATAAAACTTTGTAAAAGGAATGAATGGCAGAATAAATACCTTGTTATCATTCAATATTAGTATGGAATAATTTTTATGCTAATGATAAGGAAAATTTGTTTCTTGTTCTGTGAAGTTTGAAAAGAGTAGCAAATACATGACCATCATTTTTGAAAGAACTATCAAAATATGAAAAACGTACAGTTCCATTTTACATACTTAATGCAGACATACATATTGGGAGATTGCTTAAAATAATATACTATAACATCATATAATATAATATTACAGAGCAATAAAAATTAAATTACTAATGCACTCAACAAACCATGAACATGTATTTGATTGCTACAACTGAGAGAGATGCTAACAGCTTGCAGAGGTAGAGGTTGAGCTACTAAGCATGCAATGACGAGGACAGCCTACATGACAAAGCATTATCCAGCCCAAACACTAATAGTGCTAAGGTTGACAACCACTGGCCTAGATGTAAAAAAGTCAATTATTAAGCTTTAAGAAAAAAAAATCATGAGAAAAAAAATGTACCCCGTGTTAGGCAATAATATCTTGATAAGATAATAGTGAGAAACAATGAAAGAAAAAAAACCCGACATCATAAAAGATAAAAAAGTTTAGATCTTAAAATATTTGATTTGATAAATAAATGATTTGATAAATAAAATAAATGATTTGAACAAATAGCTGACCCTGAGATTTATGTATGAAATATGTACTCATAAATAATACATGAAAGTATTATTTAGAGAAATGCAAATCAAAATAACAGTGAAATATCACTAATCTATAATAGGATACACACACGTATGTGTATGTGTATACTTATATATACACATATATATGTACAATTATTTTTTTTTCTGTTATAAATAGGCAATTATGTCATAGCACTAATTCTTGGGAAATGTATATACTAAAAAGACTGATGAAGGTAACATGCAGAAAATTAAAATTGCAGTTCAAATGATAAAAATAATTACTTTTTCCTGAAAACATGGCTTCAAATTAATCTAGTAAATATTAATGATGCTTCTTAAAATCAAATTCATTCCTTATTATAAAGCAATGAGCTATGAAAGGATTTCCACTTACAAATGTAATTTGGAAATGAAATAGACACATAAATAATTTGGTAGATAAATAATGAAAGTATTGATGCACAATTATATAGTTTCAGAGTTTACAAAATCATACAGATGAAAATAGTAGATGCAGGAAATCAATTACACAGCTTTCTTTTCTGTTAGGTGCCCAATATCCTAGTTATCTGAAAAAGGCCAATATGCATAAAATATTTTGAAAATGTAAGTCATATACAAATGTGAATTTTAAATATTCAGTCTTATTTTTAATGGGATTGGGTGCAACAGCTCAAAAGCCTGAAGTTTTTCCTCTGAGAAAGACCTGTTATTCTAATGAAAGGGGTTAGTAATGTGCAGAATATTCTACTCCCACGTGAAAAATCTTCAAATTAATGGTGGAAGAATGTGGGGAGTGTTGTAAGGATAGTTTATGAAAGTTTTAAAAGAAGATTCCTTGAAATAATGAGCAGTAGACTATTCAGTTATTTTTGATATGGGATCAAAAAAGAAAGTTATAACTGAAGAAGGAAGGCTTGCAAGTAGATGGCATCTTTATTGTTGTACTGTACAAAAAGACATCCATTGTTATATTGGTGTAAGATACACAGTTATCATTGATAAACAATGTTATTATGTGAATGTATCAAGTGTACAATAGCTAATGATGATAACTTTAGCATATACAAAAGTGCATGCACTGAACTATCTTTTAAGATGTTTATAGCATGGTGCTATTTAAAGAAAACATTTTTTGGAGAAAATTCAGGCTCTCATGGCTGCCAATTTGCAGCCCTTATGATTTACAGACCTGGTATAGTTTCTGAGTTTCTGCATTCTAGTGTATAATAAGATTCTTTTACTTGCCTTCATCTGGTGGGGTGGCACTATGTGACTAGTTCTGGCCCATGAGATGTTAGCAGAATATATATGTGTAAACTCCTTCTGTCTAAGGTATTTAATTGAGGTAGCAAGGAGGAAAACTGAGTGAGGGTATATAGGAAGTCTTTGCAACTTTTTTGTAAATCTTAAACTATTTTGTAATAAAATTTCAGTAACTGTTTAAATGTAGCATATCAAATTCAACAGTATATAAAAAGATAATTTATCCCGATCAAGTGAGTTATCACAGAAATGTGGAGTTGGCTTAACATTTGAACATTAATAAATACAACTCATATTACTAAATGAAAAAAACCTAATGAACATCTCATTAGATGCAGACAAAATACTTGATTAAGTTCAAAAATTCATTCTTGCTGAAAACTCTTAATAACCTATGTGTAAAAGGTAATTTTCTGTATCTCATAAAAGACATTATGTAAAACCTACAGCTAACATCATCTTTAATGGTGAAAGACTGAATGCTTTTCCCCTCAGTTAAGGAACAAGCCAAGAATGTTGATTCTCATCACTTCTAAAGTGGTTGTAGCCAATGTGATAAGGCAATAAGAATAAATAAAAGTCATCCAGGATAAAGTAAAGTTTTAATTTTCTATGTAGACAATTGCACTAAGTCTACAGAAAAGCTACTAGAATATGTGAATTTAACAAATATGGTAGACAAAAATATTTTTGTATTTTTTGTGATGTCAGTGAAACCCAGAATACCGTTTCATTTACACTTTTACTCTACACAGAGTAATCACTATGCTATTTTTGTCCAGACTGAATCTTTTCTCCCAATGCCATGTCTTCTGTCTCTCAATCTCTCATTCTTTGTCTCTCTCTTGTTCTTCATATATTCTTCATATTGATCTTATCAGTATACCTTATTTTGTGACTTTCAAAGTAGAAACCAAGTTGAGCTAACAGAGACCAAGCTCAAGTGAATAAGCAAGTCAAGTTTTTGACTCTTGATTACAAATTATCTAAAAAGTTTCAACTGTGAGAGTTCTTTTTTAAACTTACACAGTTCAAATGACTTTTAAATTACAAAGGCTTAAAATCTCCAATTTTTTAGTAATTTGTTTCAATTTATTTTAAGACTAATTTTTAATTGTATTTATAGGTATATGTATATAACATAACAATTTGAGAATTTTAACTGCAGGGATTTAATGTCAATGCATTCTGCATAAGTTTTGCAGTATTTTGTTTACGTATATGGAAAAACTACCATGTGTTGCTCAAACTCAAGAATTATTAGAGGTCAAGAATTATTACAGGGCAATATTTTTATTGTATTATTTTGAAATGACAGATGATACCTTGCAGGCTTAAGATACTACTGAGTTTTGTTTCATTTGAAGCTTGTTTTGTTATATAAAAGTGGGCATTTATCAAGAGTATTAATTAAGTATAAGTGCAATGTGGGGGTACCTCTTACTAAAAGCGTTGCAGATTCTCAGAAATGTAATAGCTAAAGAAATGTGGACAGAATATTAATGAATTTGGTGATACATTTATTATTTAAAACAACAAAAAGAGGGAGAGTCTCAAATGTCAATGTCTGACTGTAATGGAAATACATAAACATAAACAAAACAGTGTATGGTTTCATAGGTTGTGTAGCTTATGAAATAGTTTCACTTATCGTGCTCTGATGTTATATGCTCTGTATAGATTGACTTTTAACCTATAGAATTGGAGCATAAGTTCTATAATTTTATAGTATACATTAAGTATTAAAGAATGCTTGGACCTTACCAAGGTTAATATACCTAATTGTATGGCTAATTCAGATAATGTTAGACAGTTTGTTATGTTCAAATTTATTTCAAAAAAATGTTCATTCTTTCAAAAATTAATTTGTATAAAACATAATGAATTATTTCTGCTTCTCAACATATTGTTGTCATGGTTTTAATTAGAGGATATTCGTTAATCATATAAAGCAATCTTTCTATTGATTCTTTGAATGAATTACAAATAGGTAGTGAGCATTCTGGAGGTCATTATATCCAAATTGCAAAGAATCAAGCAATGATTATCAAGGTACAAGAGTGCTTGATCACACAATCAAGAATTTACATAATTCATTATGATCTCTTTATCCAGGAAGATGTAATGATAGCATGCAGTAGGGAGATAAATTGTAGAAAATTGTCTGCTTACAGCTTCATGCATATTTAAAAGAAAGATTATTTTTCTGATAAACCAGGCTCTGCATTTTCAAGTCTGTTTTGTGCAAAGTCATTATGCTGCTGTTGTTAAAGGCCTTAATGCTCACCTTGATCTTCTTCTCAATGCTCATATATAAAAACATCTTTATTCATATCATTACTTATATGTGTGTGTGTATGTGTATACACACATATGTATGTAGTAGTTTTTTGAAGTTTAAATTAATCACTGGTCATATTTTGAAACTAAAACAAATGTATTTTTTTCTTTTATAACTTTTTGTTTGTCTTCTTTAATTACTTCCACTCATTCTAAAATTCCTTTAAAATCCTCAACGGAAAACATAATGATTTTAATAAGGCAGTTGCAATTCAAACAATGGTATATAGGAACTATCATTTGCATTTTAACTCCAGCTATGATATTAGAAGTCTTTGCTAATTTAAGCTAGCTATTCCTTTTCTTTCCCAATTTAAAATATGAAATAAAAATTAAATATGTAACTTCAAATTTGATTAATATTATACCACATCTTTAATACAATTAATGTTTTACTAAAAGCAAAACAATATTATTTCTCTTGGATATATAACAAATGTCAAATAGTACAAAATAGTTAATTATAGTATAAAGCCTTTGTTAATGAATACTTTCTTATAAATATGTATATTTGATATTTGATCCATTCTTTTGCACATGTGATACCTCTTACAAACAGGTAGTGAGCATTCTGGAGGTCACTAACTTGGATATAGATCAGGCTGGTATAAAGAACTAAAACAACAATAACATCAATGATAATAATGCCATTTTTCTTAATAAATTGTGTCCTTGAAACAGATATAAACAATGGATTATTTCTATATGATGACCTTGAAAATATTTATAACATCCCCCAATTTTTCTCTAGTGATATTGGCTCCTCCATCTGTTTTACTTCTTTTGGTAAATTAACACAATATCTAGACATTCTTATCAACTAGATATCTGTTGAATACCCTCAGGTCATCACATTTTCCTCATTATTTCTTGGGATCAATCACTTGGTCCAATCTATCCTGTATACTTTGTATCTCTTGAACTTGTCTGCTAAATTAACCACCTTCATTTACTTTCTGAGTTCCTATGCTGTTGGCATCCTCAAATCCTATGACATTGCAACTAGAGATATAGTTCTAAAGAAATATTTTTACAAGATTCCCATGCTTCAATACTCCAGCAATTCTTTCTTGTTCTCGGAATAAATTTTGATCTACTTACTGTGCATCTGACAATTGTATGACCAGAATGCCTCTCTTGTGTTTTCCATTTCATACTCTACATACTGTCCTCTGGTTTGTCCCTCACGTCTCATTTCATCAATGCTCACCTACATAGCACACTTGCCCTTCTAGCTATGATATTTCTAACTCTCTTTGTTTTACTTAAAAGCTAGAAATTTCCTCTTAGTTAATAGCTTTGACTTTACATCCACTGGTAACCTCCTTTGCGTCCTAAAGTCTAGACAGTAATGGTCAAAATCTCCATAAGCCTTTAGAGTTCCCTGTGTTTCTATCAGGAGATTGTGTCACATTTTGGGAATATTTGTTTCTTATTTTTCTCCACAAATAGATACCTATATTCTATAATTAAGATCTTCAAAATTAAACAGGAGTTCATTAAATGTTGTGCAGTGAGTGAATGAGTCAAGGGTAAATTAATGGTGTAACTTGTTACTGACTTCCCTCCTTTCTTTCCTGAGTAATTAAATCTTAGTGATAAAAGCCCTTAAAATTTAGTGCTAAGATGTATGTTTCCAAAATTAAAGGAAAATTCTCTTCCTTCTGTGATCCATATTCCAACATTGTTTACATTGTCAGACAAACTAATGAGCATAATGGACAGCCCATGTTGAGAGGCTAAGACCAAGAAAGCTTATTTTATGAGTAAATGAGTAAAAAAAGTAGAAAACCAGTGAGATATAGGAGGAGAGAATGGAGTTGTGAGAGCCAAGTAAAAAATTTATGATTACAAGAGAGTACATCTTAAAAGTTCTCATCACAAGAAAATTATGTGTGTGTGTGTGTGTGTGTGTGTGTGTGCAGTGATTGATATTAACCAGACTTACTGTGATCTTTTCACAATATATACAAGTGCTGAATCATTATATTTTACACCTGAAACTAATATGAGGTCCTATTTCAATAATCTCTCAATTAAAAAAAAAGGAAAAAAATATATGCTTACCCTTGAAGAAAAGTCAGTATTCCTTCTGATTGTGGCTATTTTCCAGAAATGAGATAATCTCTAGTCATCCAAAACAGAAGGTCAGTGTTTTAAGCCTATTCTGCACTAATTCTTTTAAATCACTTTAACAAATAAAAGAGTATCTACAGGGACCGCTTTGATAGGGTTGTGAAAACCAGTAACTATATAAATAAAGTACCGTATAGGGTAGTTGAATCACCTGTCTCTAATAAAATACATTCAAAATGTAAATTTTTTCAGTGAAAAAAATAAATGATCTTGAAAAGATAGCCCATTCAATCAGATTACAAACATAGCTACTGAACTTCGTTTTTCCTTTGTCCTTATTTCTCTTTCTACACTTTCTGTTTGTAACAATTAAGTAACTCCAACCTTTCTATTATCCCTCATTGTATGAAGAAACCATGAAAAGAAAAGAAGAGACAAATCATAAAATTAGAAAGAGGGGTGTGTAATAGGAAGAACATAGGGAGATGAAAGATAAGAAATCAAAAATTAAAAGGAGATTTAGAAAGAAGGGGTAGAAATTAAGGATTATGCAAATGTGGTTGCTGCTAAGTCATCATTTTTCTGATTGATTTTAATATTTTAAAAATGAAATAATTACTCTTCCTAATTTTCTCCAAAAATAAGAGTTTAAGAAATAAGTGATTGAAGCAAGGCATAAAATATCAGTATCCAAAATACTTACACAACTCACCATTTTTTTAATATAAGCATTCATTTACCTTCAGAAAGTAGAAAAGTAGGGTAAATATAAACCAAACAAGGCTACTCTCTTCTCTGAATTAACACTGTTCCCATTCTAGCTAAGGCCTATGAACACTTATGGGATAAAACAGGATGTTCAGGTTGGCTTTAGACCCACTTCTGCATTGGCTGGTTGTATACCCTTGTACAAAAATGTATCAGTACTTGGTGTCTAAAGAATGCAACTGGACCAAACAGATCAATTTTTTGTTGCTATTAGAATTTATAAAGGTACATACTTGTTATATTAGAGAATGTGAAAAAGAAGTCTTGTGGTTAAAAATAAAGTTATTTCCAATGTCTTTCAATGTTATTACTGCACTTCTAGTGGTTTTACTTCACAGAGTGTAGCATAGATTAATTTTCCTAATACTGTAACTGCCTTAAAGCTAAAAAGATCTACAGATATCTATCCTTTTTAGATTAAAAAATGTTTTTAATATTGTCAAAGCAACATGATACCAACGACTGATTTAACTTAGGAAAGTCAGTACCAGCTGAAAACACTTTTAATAAATTCTTTTAATTAATAACTGAACATTGTCTAATGCACAAATTGTCCAAAAGTATATGTGTTATCTAAACATGTCTTTCTAAATAAAGGAAACATTTTTTCAGATACAATACATTTCAGAAAAGAAATTTTGATAAGCTTAAAGAGACTTTTTTTTAGTGGAAATTAGAACAACACCTAAACCTCCATGCTTAAATTAATCTTTGACTATCATAGCATATGTACGTGTTTATAAAAAAAGTTCATTAAAATATGCAATCAGATAAATCACATTATAGATGAATGCTGCAATATAGCATACATTTAGAGAAAACTTCAGCATAATAGGAAGAATTGCCCAGTAAATTTAATATTTTTCATTGCTAGAATGACAATTGACGATGTCTTAGTTAAACAACTGATTGCCTACTAAAGATATTTCATAAAATTTATCAGTTCAGAAGTAAAAATGTAATGGTAGTAACTATTCCACTCATAAATATAGCAGAATTTGAGTCCATCAATAGACAAATGGATAAAGGTGTGATATATGTATGTATGTACATGTGTGGAATGGAATACTATTCAGCCATGAAAATAATGAAATCTTGCCATTTGCAAGAACACAGATGGGCACACAGGGTAATGCTAAGTAAAATAAGTCAGACAGAAAATGGCAAATACTGTATCATTTCACTTATATGTGGAATATAAAAAAGCAAAAACAAAAACAATGAACAAACATAAAACAGTCACAGATACAGAGAACACACAGGCGGTTGCCAGAGGGGAGAGGGTAGGGTGGAGTAATACATACATGAGGCAGATTAAGAAGTACAAACTTTCAGTTGCAAAACAAATGAGTCACTGGTATGAAATATACACTGTGGCAAATATGGTCAATAACTATGTACTGTTTTTGTATGATGACATATTGTTAACTAGACTGATCATGGTGAATCAGACTGAAATGTATAGAAATACCAAATCACTATAGTGAAACAAGAACTAATATAGTGCTATAGGTCAGTTATCCTTCAAAAACAAACAAACTCATAGAAAAAGAGGTGGGGGTTTGGGGGAGGGAAAACAGGATGATGAAGGCAGTCAAAATGTACAAACTTCCAGTTATAAGATAAATAAGTACTAGGAATGTAATGTACAACATGATAAATATAATGAACACTGATGTGTATTATATATGAAAGTTGTTAAAAGAGTAAATCCTAAGAATCAAAATGAAAACACATTTTTTCTTATTTCTTTAATTATTTATCTATATATGATGATGGATGTTCACTAAACTTACTGTGATCATCACTTCATGATGTATGTAAGTCAAATTACTATACAATGCTGTATGTCAATTATATCTCAATTAAACTGGAAGAAAGAATACTTATAAACTTTAAATGGTTGTTCATATGATTGATAATACATTTCTTTAAAAGGAATAAGTTGCTGAAATGAAATTTAATAAATAGGCATTTGAAGGTTTGTTTATTGCCCCTTTAAAAGGAGCTATTAACATATAATGATCAAGAAATAGAGACAATAGAACAGTTATAGGTGATTAACAGATTAAAAAATAGCATGAAGACAATTTTAAGCATAATGTTGATTGCTCTACTTAATAATATTTTAATTGCTGTTGACTGAGTAAAATCTTGAATAAAATCTCAATGTGATTGATGTATTATTATCTCCAATTAATGCTTAATGAAGTGTTGCATTAGCAAACACACCTATGCAGACTTCTGTTTAATATGAAAAGTAGCCATAGCACTGTAATTTAAAAATGATTCACAGTTAATATTAACTATGTTAATATGGGGTCACATTTGTATTTAATATCAAGCAACATTATAGACAATATATGAGTGATATTCTGTGGTACTTGTGGTGAAGAAGGCAAATGTTTTTAACCAGCTTTTTTCCATTCTTTTAAGAGCCCTTTCAATGCCTTGCAAGGTATTCAGTCCCATCCAAGTGGTCTGTAAGACATTTGGTCCATAAGCCATTTGGTCCATACCAAAAGGTCCTGGATATTTGGTCCTGTCCAAAACTACATGGCACAGACCAAATGTGCTCATAGGACATTTTGGACAGTACAGAATGGACCTGTGAGTAATAAACTTCTCTATTTCATTTTCCCTTGTGGTCTTTCTTGAACTGTGGCTCACCATCCCACATACCACTCACTCAGGGCTCCACTTAAAAAACATTAAATTAACAAAATCACAACAACATGTAAAATGTAAAGTTGGGTCAAGGAGAAATAAGGAAGTGGAATATTGATAAACAGCAAAGAAATTAGATGGTAAATAAAACTCCTCCCAAAACAAGTAAGTTGCATCCAACTTATATTTTTATTAGTTGAAACAAGTTAAATCTCTATCTCATTCTATGGCCATCATTCAAAAGTCCACAAATGACAAATGCTGGAGAGGCTGTGGAGAAAAGGGAACCCTCCAACACTGCTGGTGGGAAAGTTTGGTGCAGCCACTGTGGAAAACTGTCTGGAGATTCCTCAAAAGACTAGGAATAGACTTACCGTATGACCCAGTCAACCCCTCCTGGGCATGTATCCAGAAGGAACCCTACTTCA